TAAAACCAGCACTGCCCCTGCCTGGCCTGCATCCCTCACTCCCCCAGAAAAATCCCCTGTTTGCTTTCCAGACGGAGAGAAGCCACGCGACTCGCTGGGACCAGTGCTGACCCTTGCCGCACAAGATGACAGCAAGAGACGGGCCCCAAGATAGGTAATGCCGGGCTCTGGGGCGGCTGTGGGGGCACACCCAGGATGTCAGGAGGTGAGGGAGGACCAGGGCACCCTGCATCTGGGGGACCCCCCCCTCCCTCTCCTGCACGCTCACCAGGCTACCTTCCCCGAGATGCTCTTCCCATCAGCTTTTCCGCAGCAAAGGGGCTGTAAACAGTCTCCTGTGTGGCAACACGCCTGGGGAGCGTGACTCCCTCCCAGCTCTGGTGACAGCTGCTGTGCGTCTCGATGGCACCTGCTGAGGAGCAGCCAGCCTCCCCCTGCCGCCTTACCCTCCCTGGGAGGGCGTCCCATGGCCCCTCTGCAGTGCCACAACCTCTGGCAGCCCAGGCCAGCAGGGGCAGGGCCAGGGCAAGAAATGTCATCCTCCCTTCTCCTCCTGGTGCCTCCCGCTGCAGAGTCAGAGCGACGCCTGTCCCCTGCTCTGCCCAGCATCCTTGCTCCAAAACTGCTCTGTCCCCTCCGCAGGTACAAAGCTGTCTGGCTGATTTTCTTCATCCTCGGCCTGGGAACGCTGCTGCCGTGGAATTTCTTCATGACCGCCAGGGAGGTGAGGGCTTCCCTCCCGCTGCTGCCCGTGACACTCATCGTCCCCTGTAACGTCCAGGGGTGGCCTGAGTGTGCTGGGGGGGGGACACACACACGACTCGCTGCACCACGGCCCCACCGGGCTCCTTCCCTCGCAGTATTTCATCGGCCGCCTCGCGGAGCCGGAGGAGCTGAGAAGCTTCAGGAACCAGAGCGGTGAGGCTGCCTTGGCGCCCTCCTACCTGCCGTCCATGTTTGACAACTTCATGACCCTCTGCGCCATGGTGCCCCTCCTCATCTTCACCTGCCTCAACTCCTTCATCCACCAGCGGTGAGCCTTGCCCCGTCCTGGCCCCTGCCAGCCTCCATAGGGCCACCCAGCCCTGGCTTGTCCTCCTGCCCCAGCACTGAGCCGAGCCACGGACCGTTCCGTCGAGTCAAAGGCGAAACACCAGTCTCCTGTGCTGGGGTTTGGCTGGGATTCCCCTGGCAGAGCTTGGCCTCAGCCCCACAGGCTTTTAGGGGGGTGGGTTTTCCTCGCTGAGACCCTCTCTTGCAGGATACCCCAGCAGATCCGCATCTCGGGCAGCCTGGTGGCCATCGGGCTGGTGTTTTTAGTCACCGCAATCATGGTGAAGGTTGCCATGGAGCCTCTTCCCTTCTTCGTCTTTACCATGATCAGCATCATCTTCATCAACTGTGAGTGAGGCAGCGGCGGGCGGGGGGAGGAAGGAGGCAGAGCCCTGTGGCTAGGGCTGATCTCTCCGGGAGAAAAGCGTGAAGCTCGCTGTGGGAGAGCCAAGGAGGAGGGGGACCTGCCTTGCCTCAGAGCGCGGGGGCCTTGGCTTCGTCTTCGCCTTTGGTGGCTCATTTCGGCTCCTCTTTCCCCTTCGCAGCCTTCGGCGCCATCCTCCAGAGCAGCCTCTTTGGGCTGGCAGGGCTCCTGCCCGCCAGCTACACGGCTCCCATCATGAGCGGGCAGGGCCTGGCGGGCACCTTTGCCGCGTTGGCGATGATCTTCAGTATCGCCAGTGAGTAACCCCGGCCCTGCGCGTGGCAGAGCCTTCCCAGAGCCAACCACGTCTTGCCGGGGTCGTGCTGTAGGGTTGGGTGGGAGATGGCAGCGGGGCCTCGCTCCTCTCAGCCCTTGTCATCTTCCTTTTACCACCCCACCGCCCCCCCCCGCCCTCGTCTCCTTCCTTCCTGTGCTCCCAGTTGGCGCCCAGCAACCCGAGAGCTTCATCGGTTACTTCACCACGGCCTGTGTGGCGATCGTGCTGGCAATCATCTCCTACATCCTTCTGCCTCGCATGGTGAGACTTTGTTGTCCTGGGGAGGGGGGGGAAAGGGTGTGGGGACACAGGACCTTCATGCAGCGCATGGACCGTGGCCCACTAGCCCCAACCAGCCTCCACCTCCTGGGTCAGGGCAAACTCTCCCCCGTCCCAAGGGAGATCTCTGGGATACCTCCCACCTCAGATATCCCAGTATCCTTGGGGAACGGTGGCAATGAGCCGCTGGGTGACCAGGAAAGCATCGGTATCAGAAATAAGTGGAAGGACTACTTTGCCCACATCTGCTCTGGCCACACAGCCCCCAGCAGCCTTCTTTCCTCACGCGTGAAATGAGGTCGCTGTGGCTGTCTCTCTGCAGGATTTCTTCCGATACTACTCCATGAAGGACAAGACCGAGTACTGTGTGTACAACGCAGAGCTGGAGACCAAGAGGGACCTGATTAAGAAAGGTGAGGGGCTGAGAGGAGGAAGGAGTAAGAGGAAGAGCTGGGCTGGACTCAGTTAGATCTCTGGAGTCTGCTGTGCCCTACTTGTGTCTCTCCCTGCAGACGAGCCCAATGGGATGGAGCAGAATAACTCAAAGGTCATCCCTATCCACAACCCTGATGAGAAGCCCTCGGTCATCGCTATTTTTAAGAAGGTCTCTGAGTTGTCAGCAACCCCTCGTATCCGGGGATGGGCACGGGTGTGGGAGAGCAGGGGGAGAGGAGACCAGCCCTGCACTGGTCCCTTGCCCTGTGGTTGGTACCAGCCTCTTTCTTCCGTCTGCCTAGCTCTGGGTCATGGCCGTGTCCGTCTGCTTTGTCTTCACGGTCACCATCGGCGTCTTTCCTTCCATCACAGCCAAGGTGTCCACTGTCCTCGGGGAGGGAAACGGATGGGGTAAGTGTGGCATGGGGTGGGGTGGGCTAGGAGGAAACTGGGAGCAAGGTAGATGGGAGAAAAGAAAGTGGGGCTTGAAGTAGTAGATACGTGTGGTGGGTTGACCCTGTCTGGACGCCACGTGCCCACCAAAGCCGCTCTGTCACTCCCCCTACTAAGCTGGACAGGAGAGAGACAATATAACGGAAGGCTCGTGGGTCAAGATAAGAACAGGGGGAGATCACTCAGTGAGTACTGCCACAGGCAAAACAGACTCAACGTGGGGAAAAAGAATTTCATTTATTACCAATCAAACCAGGGCAGGATAACGAGAAATAAAAACTAAATCTTTAAACACCTGCCCCTCACCCCTCCCCTTCTTCCCAGGCTCAACTTCACT